GTCTTGGGGCAATTTGTTATGCAGCACAGATAACCAATATACCCAGTGAGAGGATTCCCTAGCCGGAGCCCTGGAAGAAAACAGATAGCCACTTCTCCTGAGGCTGTGACAGTGTTCAGTGCTTTGTATTAGAAAGCCCTTCCTGAGGGAACAGCCGGAAAGCCCTGCGGACAGTCACATCATTGTGCTGTGGGCCCTCTGAGGGGTATAGATGAGGAAGAACAATAATTTTGGGAGCGTTCTCCAGATATCCACTTCCTTCCCAGGCAAAGGGACCCAGACCATCTTTCACTGACACTTGGCGTCTTTCTGTCAGTCATTATATGCCTATCATCCTTACTAGCCTATAAGGCCTTCAAGGGCAAGAATTATTTTCTATAATATCAACAGGCACACACTGTTTGTACTTAACAAATATTGGATGCTGTGGGTCACATTGGCTTCCTAGGTGGGAAGGTCAGCTCATCAAATGAATGGGACAGGTTAAATATAGATGACCAAAGAGCAATGAGATCAATTCCATCTGTGAGATGAACACTATGAACACCTAAAATAGCCATTTGGTCTTTCTGGGAGATCTGACTCCTTCAGGAGGCCACAGGATGTTGTGAGAGACATATCAGATGCCAGGGATAATGGATGTGTTTGGGGCTTTTGATACCAGGAATACATAATTTTCTCTGAAATCTTCCTGGTTTTGACCTGACCTTCCTGACACTAAGTATGGATGGCCCTGACAGGCAGCAAGCAGGACCTCCCTTGGTCACATGGGGGTTACTATACAGGAGGACAGAATGCAGACTCCCTGAGTAGGGGCATGCATGGAGCCTTGTCAAAGGGCAAACATCTTCTTGCATAATGCCAGGTAAACTACATAATAGTAACTCACCATATTACTTATGCCAAATGAAACATATGGGACTTGCAGCTTGTTAGAAAAACACCTGCATATATCTATATGATGTATAGTATGATATGTGCACACATGTATATGTAATATGAATATATCTTTATATGTCTTTTTCTATTAAAGCAATTTTCTATTTGGCTTTTTTTCATAGATTTCTTGAAATTTTCAGTTTGACTAGGAGCAATTTTGGCAAAAGTCAGTATACCATCTTTGGCTTTGTTTTGTTGTCTTTGGAAATCTCAGTTTAGAGAACAGGAGTGTTACATGCTTGGTTTGATGGTGCTGAATTCATTTCTCACCCAAAATGTGCACTCTCTGCATTTTCTCTAGGCTATCACAAGAGGGCAGTACATGCCCATATGTATAAGTCAGAGATGCCTTCATTTCCAGATAAAGAAGACCTGCCTCCTTGTGCTCTGGGAGCACAATATAAGGGTGACCCCCTCCCCGCCCAAAATAACCCGGAATTTATTTATTTAAAAAATGTGTATTTATTCTTACATGTTTAAACTTCAGTCATTTTCAAAGTACTCTCCATTTGATGCAAATACATCTATTGAGACTTTTTTCCACCGCTCAAAACGGTTTTTGAACTCATCAGTTTGGATGCCTTTTAGTGCTTCGGCCATTCTGTGTTTCACCTCTTCCACACTGACAAAACATTTCCCTTTGAGGACTTTTTTCATCCAGGGAAACAACAAAAAAAGTTACTTCGAGAGAGATTGGGTGAATATGGAGGGTAGAGTATGGGGCCATGCCATTTTTAATCAAAAACTGCTAAACACTCAGCACAGTGTGGGTAAAGTACACTTGTAAATCATAATGAAATGGGCAAGTTATTTGAAAGGATCTCCCCCCCCAAAATTCACTGAAGTTGAATGATGCCTCTCACAACAACACTAACTGGCACATGGATGCTGATGGGTTCCTAGAACACTGGGCAGCCAAGGCCCGGACTCTGAGGATCCTGTGAAGAATTACACTGAACAATGAAGGGAGCTTGTCATTGTCACCAGCACCTGCCTCATCTCTCACCCTGATGTGTTTGTGTGCCGCTTCTGGATGCACAGTAGACAGAAAAGATGATCTGTCACAGAAAAGTTACCAGAGGCTTCCAGAGCAAGCCAGGGCCGCAGACCACTTTGCCCAAGCCAAGTGGGGAGATGGGCCTTCCCAATCTGTCTGCAAAGTCACTGACTCCTGAGGTCTTAGAAGTGGGTCTAAGAAGCAGCTGTGTATAGGATGATGACAAGCGCCACCTGGACTGAGCCTCCACGAGAAGGATGCCATTCTCTGTAAACTTCAAGAATGGACAGAATCTCATGAAACAACATCTCATTTCCTTAGTCTCTATCAGTCTTAGGACAACAGATTTTTGCAAGCTTTTGTTGCAGAGCAAGCATGAAAAGTATGAAAGCCTTTTGTTAGAAGTTCTTATCCCTGTATTTGTGTCCAGTCAGTCAGTCAGGCCTAGTGTCTTAACCTTTGCTGCTGTTCTTGTCCAAAAGGCTTATGTTTTACACAATCTTGTAGAAAAAGCCTAGTTTTGCTGAAGAAAGATGAGACTCAGGGGCACCAGAAGCCCATTTGCCTATCTCAGAATTATCTGTGTGGAGCGGGGAGATGGCAGGAAAGCTCATTTCAACCCAAGGATGTCATGGGAACTGTTCCTTTGCAGATCTGCAAGAACCAGCCATGGCCCCTGCAGCATGGGTGAGGAAGGCTCACAGTGGGCAGCATGACTCATTGGGAACACCAGTCATTCTTCCTGCCCAGCCGAGACCCCCTCTGGATTCAATTTCCTTTCATCCACTGCAGGTACAAACACATCACCAAGGGTCGAATATTTTTTCTAGTTTGTTATCTTGGCAAACAGAATCTGAAAACATCTTTGCTGAATTTCCTTCCCCAAATCCTTCCCGGTTTGCATAAAAGAAAAAGACTACAGCATTTCCCTCTGTGGTACTTGCTAAGCAACTACGAGCGGTGAATATAATAAGTGAGGCCTACTGACTGCCAGAGTTACAGGGTGCCCCACATCCCCAAGGAACAGACATAATCCCACAAAGGCTGCGGAGAAGCCAGCTGGAAGCCCAGAAGCCTTGGCCACCATGTCTGCCCTGCAGGGAGAATCACCTTTGCTGTGTTATTTCACATAGGAGGGTTGTTGAATTAGATGGCAAGAAGATCAGGATGAACACTGCCTGCCCGAGGAACTGGCAACAGCAGGCTCCCTGGAAGCACTGACTCATCCTGCACCATGGTGGATATAGAAGGTGGAACGGGATGAATTCCTTGGCACTTCACTGCTTTTTTCTTAAATACACAATACTTTGGCATTTCCGTACAGGAATTCAGTAGTCGTCAAGCATGGCTTGTGTTATAAAAATCCAAGAGAATGAATCAAAGGAGGACATGTGGCAGTTCCACAGTCAGCACGACTGCTGGAAACAGGATAAGGGAGAAAGTCTATAGACCTGCCGTCTCCAAAATCCTCTCAGCGTCTAAAATAACTAGCCTCTCAGTGGGGCGCCTTGAACTGGAAGGATCTCTCCTGGCTTTTCTAAAGGGTGTCATACTGATTTCTGGGTTTTATCTCACAGCTGAATGACTGTCCATACCCACAAGTTATATTTCACCAAAGCACATGTATTAGAAATGCTAATGATATTCCTAGAAGTTCCATGTGATATAAATCAAGATAAGCTCTTTAGTAAGTCATCAACAGTTACTGGGAAAATGAGCCGACTGCAGGTGAGTGACGCTCCTTAATAGAGGAACACCCTTCGATGAAGCTAGAATTGTAAATGGCGTGTGGATTCCTGAGCTACTCACTACCCAGTGACGGCACTAGGAAGGATTTGACCTCACTTATAACTGAAACAAAACAGCTAAGCACAGGTCCACCTTACAGGAAAGAATGAAATAATGACAAACTCCCGAGGGCTCATTGCATAGTCCTGTTTTTCTGGCCTAGGGCCCAGCACATATGAGGGGTCCTCCCCCCCAAAACTGGAATTATCTTTTGGAGGACAGGCTCCTTGTGGTAACTTGGGATTTGTTCCTCTGGATCAAATGGTCAACCAAAGTTTTTATCTGAAGGTTTTGAGAAAGTTGCATCACGATTTGTGAAAGGAATGTCCCAAGCGGTGGCAAACAGGTGACTGGTTCTTCCACCATGTCAACACACCTGCCCACAACACTCTGAGCATTCATCAGTTTTTGGTCCCAAATGGCATGACCCCCATGCCCTACCCTCCCCCATTTACCTGATCTCCCCCCTAGCAACTTTCTTTTGTTTCTCTGGATGAAAAAGTCCTCAAAGGAAAACGCTTTGCAATGTGGAAGAGGTGAAACAAAACAACAACAACAACAACGACAACAAAACAGCAGAAGCACTAGAAGGCATCAAGATCGATAAGCTCTAAAACTGTTTTGAGCAGTGGAACAAGCATCTCCATAGGTGTATTGCATCAAATGGAGAGTACTTTGAAGGTGACTGAAGTTTAAACATGTAATAATAAATATACAATTTTTAGTAAATAAATTCAATTTTGGGGGGTTCCCTCCCTCATAGTGGGCTCTCAGTAGGTATTTCTTAAATAAATCAGTGGCCTAACTTGCTGGGCTTTCTCTCTGTGAAGCCTTCCTGTGGATTAGTGACATCAACTTCTCAGGTCAGTAAAAATTATGGTCCTTTCAATTTTCTTATTTTGGTACACCTATGTTATGTGATCTCAGAAGAGCTAGCAGCACAGATTTCAGCTGAAGGGTAGAGTAAGTATCTGTGCCATTCTCCCCTTTCCAGTTATTGCCATGTTGTCATGAGCCCCCTGTCCCCTGCTCCTCCCACTGCTATCAGAAGGGAACCTCAGGGTCAAGTTCTCACTTGGGTCTTGGGTGCCTCAGAGTCAGGGTGCAGCTGGCCACTGTACTGTGAACCCCGAAGCTGATGTGCCCAGCACACCGCACACCCGGCCCAGAAGCCAGGGATGGAGCCAATGCTGGTTCCTGCTAAACCAGCCTGCAGCCAGGGATGCATCTCTGAGTCCTGAGAGAAAGCTGCCCACGGGGCATCCCCAGTACGCACCTTATCACCGTGGGGGTGATCTCTGCACAGAAAAACACGCTGAGGCTGCCCACTGCATGAGAGGCAAACATGCCCACGATGGAAAACGCGATGGAGAATTTGTCTTTGACGCTGTCACTCATCCCTGAGGGAAGATCAGAAGGGGCTGGTGAGGGGACAGTGGAAGGGAGGAGTGAGAAAGCCCAATCAGGGGGCAGGGGACCTGGAGCCACACACAGTGGCTTCCTGAGGTCCTGTAGGCATCGAGCATGCTAGAGCAAAGGCAGCCTGTCAGAGTTCCTCGCCCGGAGTCATGCGCTGTGGAGAGGAAGGCTGGCATCTCCCTGGTGCCATGGCAGTGTCTCTCTGCCCTGGCCTCCCGCGTCTGCTCTGGAGAGGGCCCTGTTTTCCAGCACCCTGGCCATTTCAGCCTCAGGTTTGACCAGTCCAATACGTGGGACCAGGTATCTGAGTCAGTGTTGGTTTAAGGGAACAAAAACTCAAATAACCCAACAGAAGAAGTTACAGCCCAGAGGGAACATGCTCCACCCATCCAAGCACCTTGTAAATGGCACCAGAGTCCGCTCTCGTGCTACAGCGGAGTCAGGTACAGCACATCAGCATGCTGTGGGGGGTCACAGAGCGGGGCACAGTTCAGCTCCTCCCAAGGCTGCACTGGAGGGCAATCTCCCCAGGGGCTCTGGGGTATGAGCTGGGGACAGGCCAGGCAGGTGTCACACAGCATGGCAGTGCAGGGCAGAGCCTTCCTCTACTGTCCCCCACAGACAAAGAGCAGCAAGCTGGCATGAGTCACAAGGGGACAGTGGCTTCCCCTGGCAGCACAGACGGCCGGGCCTTCTGATTCTGCCCAGGTGTTGTTCATAGACAAATGGCATGGGCGCCGGGCCAGAGCCTATGCTGGCTGCTGGAGCCAGGGGAAGGGGTTAGGGCATGCGTGGAGAGCCCAGGGCAGGAAGCACCAGCTGCTGTTTCTAGAGCAAGAGAGGGGAGAGAGTACAAATGTATCCTTATAGTGTCCAACCTACGGCCAACCTCAGCTGCAGTTCTTGGAGGGCAAGGAGGGAGGAGAAAGAGAGGAAATGGAAATCATAGGTTTGTGAGTCTTTATGAAAACGGCCACTGGGTGCAATACAAGATGAGGAAGCACAGGCTGAGTGTCAGGGACTCACCTGAGTCTGGATGCTGGCTGTATTTTCCAATCACTGGATCCCAGACACCATCATACCCACGAGCAAGGGTGGAGAAAGCAGGAAGAGAGGGAGAAAGCACATCAGGTACGGCGTTATCACAGTGTGCTCCCATGTGACTTAGGCAAATTTCCTTCCATGTCTGGGCTGAGACAGTCGGATTCACACTGGACTAACAAAGATTTCTCTGTTAGGAAGAGAGGGCTAAAACACTACTGGCTTCAGAGCCTGGGGGGGGGGGGGAAACGTATCCCATCACAAGACCCTAGCAGAGCCAAAGGGGAATTTCCTTGCATATAAAGCTATTCAAGGGTCACTGCTAATCTGTGCTTGGGAAGCAGGAGGTAGTGTGGGGTGGAAGCATTTCTGCCTCCCCTGAGCCTTGCTGCTCTCAGCTACCTGCTGTCTGCCTGGAGTTCCTATGGTGTTCCTGCTCAGGGCCAAAGGAGGCATTGGTGACATCGGGTGAGGTGCCCCATGCTGGTTAGACAGATACCACATGTCTGTTCTCATTCTTGGTCACAGCTGGTGTAAGCCCAGTCTCCCAGCAAAGTGTGGATGCATAAGGACTTGCCAAGTTAGAGGACTTGCTCCCATGTTTGGAAATAGCTATTCTATAATCTGGGCTACTCTGATTTGGGGTGCAACAGGATGGTCCTGGGTTCTGACAGCTTGCTTTCCTTGTAAAGAAGTGGAGTGTCTGTGGCATCAATTTCCCTGCCATGTCCTTTGCCTGGCCCAGGAAGACCGTGCCTGGAGTGAGAAGAGGCTCAGTGGTCCTGCTGGTTCCTGTTGTGCTTTGGGTCAGCCAGGGCAATGCTGTGATAGTTTCTGCACACATAGGGAGCTACACAGAGATTGCTGGTGGACTACATGAATCCTATAACATTGCCTTAGATGATGATGATGATGATTTTGAGTTGGTGTCTCACACTGTCGCCCAGGCTGGAGTGCAATGGCACAATCACACTTCACTACAGCCTTGACCTCCTGGGCTTAGGCGATCCTCCCACCTCAGCCTCTCTAGTAGCTGAGACCACAGGGGGTGTGCCACCATGCCTGGGTAAATTTTTTGATTTCTTTGTGAAGACAATGTCTTGCTATGTTGCTCAGGCTGTTCTTGAACTCCTGCACTCAAGCAATCCTCCCTCCTTAGCCTCCCAAAGTGCTGGGTTTACAGGCGTGAGCCACTGTGCCCGACCTGCCTTAGATTATTTTTAACCTTTACTGATAAATTCTTTGGTCCAAAAAGAAGCTGATGAACTCGGGAATGTCTGTTGAAAAGTAACGCCCCAATGCGAGGGTGTCCAACAGATTTATTTCCCCCTTGATGTGACATGAAAAAAACAATCCTTTGTTCTTTGTCATGCAGCGAGTCACACAGAAATAAGTCTGCCCATTGTGAAGTCACGTCCACCAGGACTCTGAGGGAGTCACTGTGCAGCAGAGGTAGGGGAGGAGGGAAGGAACAGTACTATCAGTGGCAGGTACCACAGAGGCTCTAATTAAAGCTGGGTTCTCCCCAGAACAGCTTCTTCAAGGTGCTGATTTTGGAGTGATCACAAGTCTCACCCAGCCCTTGCAAACACCCTCTGGCATTCACCAGCTCCCTTCCCCTGCCACCCCCACCCTGCCCACAGCTTCCCCTGCCCACTCACAGTTGAGGAGCCCAAGCTGCAGGAGCGAGGCCAGGGCAGTGAGGATCATGAAGAGCAGCAGCCCTCCCCTGCGCCCGAGGAACCTGACCACCACGCACATGGCCAAGCAGGACACTAGCGCGATGCTGGCCATGGTGTAGTAGTCAGCATAGAAGTTTTCCAGGAGCGGCACCTTCACCTCATGGCCCATCATGCTCCGTGCGAAGCAGTGGTGGATCCCGTACCCTGTCAGCCTGCAGGAGACATACACAAGAGGGGCTGTGCCATCTCCTGGGAGCTCACAGTTCCAGGGGACCAGGGGGCAGAGAAACAGCTCAACATGTCATAGGAGAGCACGCCATGGTCACACACAAACCTGCAATAGGGTAGCATGCCAAAGAGGAGACATCAGAGGAGTGTCAGGTACAGGCCTCTCAAGGGGTGCATGGTCATGCCCCTCTGCCATGGCTTTAGTAGCGAGGTGTGAACCTTGTATTCAGACACAATGTTTCACAGGAATCCAACACATAAAACAAAGTGTTTTCCGCATGCTAATTCATTTGTTTCACAGATAGGCAGACAGGTACAGAGTGGCTCGGAAGCTTGCACGAGGTTCTTGGCAGGTGATAACTTCAAAGACACACGGCCTGCCTGGGGCTTGGCCTCTTTGGGCTCTCAGGGCTCTGGAAAGGTGAGATCTATCCAGAGTCATGGACTCCACCCCTCCCTGCCACTGCTCCACCATGCAGTCGGTGGAACGAGGAAGAAGTCGGGTCAAAGGAAGATACATCTGCCCTTTAGGAAACTTTATCTCTATTCTGAATTTATCCCTGCTTCCCTCTCACTGCCTTGGCTCAAGCCTCTTCACTGCCCCAAGTGAGCATATAAACCTCCTGGGAAACGTGTCCACCCTGGAACACAGGAATGAAGATGTGGCTGAGCTTTCAGGGGAGGGGTGTCTCCAGGGCTTGGGAGGGCCCTCGTGATGTGGCTGTGATGAAGTGCCTGTTCCTTATATCTGCGCTCGGCATACATCCCAGAGATCAAAGCCTATCCCACCTTGTGCTAAGCATACATCCCAGAACTCAAATCCCCCCTCCTCCCTAAGCCCATGCTCAGCAGACATCCCAGAGCTCAAGTCCTCCCACCCTGACCTAATGCCTGCCATACCGCCTAGAGCTCATTCCCCCGACCCCTAACCATCCTTTTGCGCTTCAGAGAAATCTAAGTGCTTATCATCCAACCTGGGGGATGCAGCAAGGTCAACTGCAGCAGACCCCTGTCCCCTGCAGGAGGAAGCCCCACTTGCCAAATGAATGTCTTTCCATTTGGGAAATACTCAGAGAGGAACTAGTTCCCCTGTGCTGCCATTTTCTAATCTAACAATTGATTCGATTTCGTGCATCTCCTGGGATCCCAGACAAATTTTTCTCCTTACTGGCCTGCTGAACTCTACCTTTTTGTTCTGGTAGAAATGAAGTACTTTGACCACAACAGGCAACTGGAAGATATCAAAACCAGAGAGCTTGATTCCCCTCCCACAGCAAGAATTGTTAAATGGAGAATTTCCATCTTGTCTATGCCAAATTTCACGTTTTTCCAAAATAAAAGTTGGAGAAGTCGTTTCACCAGCCCAGCCGGCATTTGCATGAAACTAGACAGTGGCAGGGTGACTGTGTCTGGCCCTGAGCAAGTATCACATGTATCTTAGTTCCCACGTATCTTAGTTCCCCTGGATCTAAGAGGCACATGGTAGGGAGGCCACATGCACAAAATTTACATGGACTAGGTGAACTGCTCTTGTGAAATGCAGAAAGATAATATCCTTCCAAGGAGGTATCTCCCCATGACCCAGCCTGGGCCCCCCACCTTCTTCTGGTCCTCACACTTGGAGAGTTCCAGCATCTTACAGGCTCACAGGGCAACAGGGTGAGCTGACCAAGGCTTCTGGAGGCAGACTCACAGGAAGGTCTGAGGTGACCCATCATTCTTCCTGGGGTCCCTTAGCAGAGAGCCAGCTTGAGGAGAGTGGGCACAGGGCAGGCAGGGGCCCTGACAAGCTGTGTTTCAAGTCTGGTTGGGGTAGGTTGCAGGGCACTGCAGTCCCACTGCTGCCCGCCTCCTTCCCTGGCCCAACCCAGCCAGCAAGGATTCCATGACTCACGAGTTGACACACAGGACCACGATGTTCTTCCACAGGTTGCGGGTCCCCACCACCTTCACGATGCAGACCTTCTTGGGCCTCCGGGAAAGCTCTTTCTCCAGCTCTGCAAAGAAACAGGCTCTATGAGTCCCTGCAGGGCACACACAGGAAACTGGGACAGCAGCCGCAGCCACAGCCCTGGTTCCCCATTTGGGCATCATGGAAAGGGGAGGAAGTCTTTTTTTTTTTTTTCCTTCTTTTTAAGCCAGGGGATAGGGTCTAGGTTTCCTAGAGAGAAATGTACCCATGACTTTAGCTTTGTAGTTCAGATTTCCTTGGGCACCTGCAGAAGCCACAGTGTGCTATCAGCAGGCGCTTTTGTCTCAGACCCTTTTCTGGAACCAGATGGGTACACACAGGTCGACAGTGTAGACTCAGTTCCCATGTGTCTGAGTACAGAGCTAAACAGTGATATTCCAGGTTACTAAGGCACTGCTTAGGCCTTGGGCAAGTTTAAACAAGTGGCTTTTTCCCCTTATGGCATCTGCATTCATCTGTGTTACCCATGGCTTGGAGATCGGGAGAACCGCAACCTGATTGGTCCCTTAACCTTGTAGAGCAGAACTTACCCTGGCCGTAGCTACTTCTGTTGAATCTGCCCTGAGAGCACATGCATCTTTGCAAGACAAACACATAAATGAATATGCATGGATGCGTATATTCATACACATACACATTCATATATGTATGAATGTATATGCATGTTTTAGTAACAGTCAGATGTCTTTGGGAGCTGAACCAGATGGTCCATATTTTGATTCCAAGGGATTTGACTGTAAAGTTTTGAGTTTCTCATGAGGCTCAAGCTAGCTCTGAGAGCCACTCTGAATAAAGTCCAACAGCACTCGTGTCACTGCACCAGGCCCAAGAGCTGCAGATGTCCTGGTGTTGATGTGGCTATTTAACAGTGCAGATTGGCTTCTGGGAGATGTCTACCTGCACAACCAGGAGCAGGAATGCCACACACAGCCTCCTGTCCCCTGTCTGCCCTCCTAGCCTGGCATGTCTTTGTGGAATAATCCCTGACCGAAGAGCTAAAAACAAACAAGGAGATTTCACAAATTGCGTGGGGAGCCAGGACTCTTCAAGACTGTCAAGATCATGAGAAGCAAGAAAGACTGAAGAGCTGTCAGACCAGAAGAGACTTAGGAAAGGTGAGGACTCAGTGTCATCCTGGATGGGATCCAGATGCAAACAGCCATTCATGGAAAAATGGGTGATGCAGAATAAAGGTTGGCGTTTGGTGAACAGCACTTTCCAATGCCAGGTTCTTAGCTCTAACAATTGCATCATGGCAGTATCAGATGTTAACAACAGGGAACACTGAGCAAGGGATGTACAGAAGCTCTGTACTATCTCAGCAACTTCCCTAAAAATCCAAAATTATTCTAAAATAAGAAATGTATTTTGCCGGGCTCGGTGGCTCAGCCTGTAATCCCGCGCCTTTGGGAGGCTGAGGTGAGTGGACTGCCTGAGCCCGCGGGTTCAAGACCCGCCTGGGCAACTTGGCGAGACCTCATCTCTACAATAAATAAAAAATCAACCGGGCGTGGTAGCGCGCGCCTGTAGTTCCAGCTACTCGGAAGGCTGAGGCGGAAGGATCGCCAGAGCCCAGCAGGTAGAGGCTGCGGTGGCCGGGAGCGGCCACTGCACTCCAGTCTGGGCGACAGAGTGAGACTCCAACTCAATAAAAAAAAAAAATTTAAAAAGTGGTGGGGTGAAGGGCATATCATTGCCCCACTCTCCTGGGGGCTGCGTCTCCTGAACCCAGGTATTACTACTCCTTAGGCCATTCTCAACCTTGGATGGCCCAAGTTCAACTTTCCTTGTCCATCTCTTTCCTGCCATCTAGTGGTGGTGGGGATGGAGTGGAGGATGCGGGTAGGTCACAAACCTCATTTGTTCTGGCTTGAAGGAAAAATGCGTTGCTTAGCCATGGGGTTAAGAACTTTTTTTTATTTAAGCAATTTTTTTGAACTCAGTGTCACCAGCCAGGGCATAGAAAAAGAAAGAAAAACACTTCCTTTGTCTGAGAGATACCATGCCTCTTGAGTTTCTAAAACTTTCTTCTTTCCTATACTTATGGGTTGGCCTTGTTGCTGTCAATCCATGGACCCTCTCAGCTCGTCAGGTCTCCTGGCTTTTATTTTCCCCACAGGAAAAACAGGCTAATTGGACTTATAGACATACGTTTTCTGTAGTAAAACAAAACAAAAACCCACACTAAAATTTTTTAAAAGCTTGAAAAAAGTTATAGTTAACAGAAAATCCCAAACTTAGCTCCTGTTACTGTATATGAAATATGATGTTAAAGAACCTATAGCAATTGTATTATGACCTGAGTTTTCAAAATAACATTAAACCTGGAGCCCAGTCTAAATAACTGACAGGACTACAGAGGTAACTGCATTATTCTATATGGGTTCAATCAGCCTTTCCAGGACAACTGACATTTTGTCAGGGTCTCTGTTGCTCATATCCCCAGCCTATCAAAAACAACACGAAACTTCTACGGCCCTGAGTTGTTCTGCAACAGAAACTCACATGCTCTGTGTACGACTTACAGACCCCCTAAGGTAACTGGGTCCAAGAGGACTTTCTGTCTCTCCAGTTGTCAGATGGAAAACCAGAGACTTTTCTAAACCTGCATCCATGGGAGTAAAAGGAGCAACAGGAAGTCCTGCTGGTTTATCAGACACCAGACAGGACACGCTGCTAAGATCATCCCTCTCCCCGACCCCGACCCAAACACTTCCGCCCTCTTGAGTTAGAGCCATCAGAAAGATCTCATACTGAAAACCTACTTAATTTTGATGAGCTAGGTACATCTGACCCTGTCCTAGGGTCAATATGTTTGTGCCATATTTTAAAAAATACTCCCATCCCTTTACATTTCCACAGGTCCCTCCATGGCTGAGTCTGGAGGAGCCTGATGAGCCTGGGTGGCAGCCCAGCTTCTGTGCTCCTTGTTGGATTCCTTGGGAAAGCTGCATGCTTGCTCTGAGCCCAGCTCCTCATCTGACAAGTGGGACCATGAGCTTCCGTGAGGACCAAATGGAAGAACGTGGCTAGGTGTCCTTCAGCATGTGAGGAACATGCGAGGAGTATGCAGGGAGCACACTGGCAGCGTGTGTCCCTCCAGCCCAGCACTCAGCCAACTCCATACCTCTCCAGCTTCTACCACCCGGGGGAGGGGAGGAAAGGGCAGGCCCTGCAGACCCTCTGGAAGGAGGGCACAGCCTGTCCTTATTTGGAGAGCTGCAGGTAGAGGCAAACCAGGCTTCCTAAGGACAGCAGAGGGGAAGGCAGATCACCCACGGCCAGGCTCAGGAGGAGCAGGGAAAACACACACATAGGAGGATTTGAGTTAGCTGGTGTGGGAGTGTGTGATAAAACGGCCTTGCTGTCATTCCCTGTAAATGATGCTGGAATGTTGGGGGTGAGGTTGGAAAAATATCAGTTATAGAGGTGAAAAACAAGAAAAGACAAAAAGAGGAGGAAGGGGACAAAGAGGAGGAAAAAAAGAGAAAGAGGAGGAAGAAGGAGAGGAAGAGAAGCTGCTACCCCTGTCATAAGAGTCATTAGCAACGCACATGCTAAAAACTCCAGGACACAGCCCTGAAGCTCCAAACCCACGTTTAGAAGTAGAGAAAGAGCCTGTTGCCTCTTCTAGGCAGCCCCTGATCCTCAGGGATGGACTTGGAATGACAGCCCTTGGCCACTCGAATAAATATGCTTTGAAAGCAAGCAGAAGACAACTGTCCATGCGGATCTTATCATAAAGTCATCTCAGAAAGCCCAATCCTCAAATTCTCACCAAGTTTTCGCCAGTGGACCCCAGCACTGCCAATCTGTCACCGTCTCTCATAGCATGGGGCTCCACCCCGCTGCACCCACTGATGTGAGCCACAGCAGCTGCATACCAGAGGGTGGGAAGTGAGGGCGCTGGCATCATCCTGGGGTCAAATCCATTTCATCACTTACGAGTGGCATGATTTTGGGCAAGGTACCCAGTGCTAGGGATGCTGAGGGCGACTGATACACAGATCTCTTGTCACTTCAGGTTCTGAACAGCTTGACAAGACAAGGAAGAGGCATGTAAGGGCAAAACTCAAGTTGTTACTGCCAAGGGCTGGAAGAGTCCCACATGGACCTGGGATGGGAATGCTTGAGGACTCAGACCCGCGTGTCCTGGCAGTGCCACAGGGGCTGCTGGGAGAAGACCTGAAGTTGAGGACAGAGGACAACTCCTCCCTGCATGTGGCTCACCCCCAAGAAGAGAAAGAGGGGAGTGAGTTTGCTCTTCTCCTGGGGCTGGCTTGACAGTAAGTGGGAACATGCAGAGTCACTGTTTCCTCAACACTTGGCCTCTTTGGGCCCATCTCCTCTGTGAAGTAGGGACAGATTCTGTCTCCTGTGAGCATCTGCTATGGATTAGATGCACGACCAGTGTTTCCTCCCATGCCTGGTAGACTCATTGCCCACAACTTTCATTTGTTTTACCTTCAACTGAACATTCCAAATTCAAAAGTCAGAAACCTAAGATGCTCTAAAACCAGACAACTTTTGAGCGCTGACATGCTCCAAGGAGCATTTCCTTGGAGCATTCTGGATTTTAGACTTTTGGATTTGGGATGCACAACTGGTAAGTATAATAGAACTGAACTCCTAAACACTTCTTGTCCCAAGCATTTTGGGTAAGGGACACTCAATCCGTGTTACTGAAAGCCAAGGGTTGTGTGTGGCTCTCATCCTGAGGTTTCTTTGTGCGGTAGACAGCAGTCTCCCAGGGTCACATTTGGAACCAGTGAGACCTGCTATAAATGTCTAAAATCTTGGGAATTATGACCTGGAAGGAGAGTTGTCAATACTTGGGCACAGCATGGGACTTTTACATTGCAGGGCTGACATGGTGACCATGACACGCAGGAACTCATCCAAGTAACTAAAGAAATTCGGCTGCACGTGCCACTAAGCACATGAAACATCCTCAAAGGTAAACCAACAATAGCTTTAAAACAGGAAAGGAAAAGAAAAATTTGGAACACCAGGTTTTCCTCTAGCATAAATCCAAGATTAGGATGCACGGATGGGACCACGAGCAACTCCCACACCGTGATACAATCCTGAGATACTCACTCATCTACCCAGAGGCGATGGAATCAGTAACCCTAAGCCTTCCTAATCACAGGAGCCCTGGATTCATTTAGTCCATACATATTCATGGCATGCCTGCTATGCTTCAGGTCCTCTGCTTGTGCTGGGGGTGGGGTGGGGTGGGGCACAGCAGCAGCTGGCTTGACAGACAGAGACTCTGCCTTGTCCAGTCTTGCAACTCTGCAGGGGTGACAGGCACCAATAAGGAATCCGTCAATGACTTATAGCAGCTGGGATGAGGGGAACCAGGTGAAGTGCTGTGGTTATCATGGGGTAGCTGGAGGGCCGACATGGTCCCCGCGGAGCTGGCCATGGAGAGGGTGGGAGTTGAGGGGACAGGAATTGCATGGGGAGTGCCCTGCAGACAGGAAGGCCAGAGTGTCTGGGAGAGGTAGGCAGAGATCAGATGGGGTTGGGGTCTCTGGCGGCCAGGAGGACCTGGGGTCTATCTGAAAGGCCTGGGTGGCCACTGAAGAGCTTTTAAACAGGTGGTGATGTGATCAGATCAGGTCTGATCTGGCTGCAGAGGGAGAAAGCTGGTAGGGATGATGGAGCAAAGCAGGAGATTAGTTAGCAGGCCAGTGAGTGAGCCAGTAAGAGGCCATGCAGCTCAGACAGGGGCTGGCTGGGGGCCAGATGAGGTGGGGAAGGAGATTCCAAGCAGAAAAGTGAGTCTGGGCTCAAGAAGTTAGCAATCATGTGAAACAGGCATGTGGCTTCCCGCAGCACTGAGCAGCTTTGTGATAGCTGCCTGTGATAGCCGGGAGGTGGCTAAGAGCAGGGCTAAGTGTGAAGGCCTGAGAAGCCCTTCTCCTCTGTGTCAAGTCATATACACCAACTACCTCCTGCCTGGGACGCTGGAACAGAATAAGCACTAGCTAAACGCATATGTAAAGAAATACATTTTTAAAATAAGATTTAATACAACTTTTCGAAAATAGGGAGGAAACTATTCAGGGTAATTAGGATTGAGAAAACAAGTTTTTCCCAGACAATATTTTAACATGAAAGAAGTGGAATGGGATGACTTATTTAGGGACATGCCACAAACAACTTGTGCTGCAAGACTTAAGAGCATTAACCTGCTAATGAATGAGCCCCAGGGAAGTTTGTGGACACAGCCTAGACGGCCCAACATGAGCAAACACAGCACCAAAGGAGAAGCCTTGGTTTAATACTCATTCCTCTCTATACATAGCACTAATATCACTGTCTTCAAGTTCCCTTCATTTCTCAGAGCAGTACAGCAAAGCCACTTCTACTATGCTTCATGGGTTCAAGTCCCAACTCAACTGTATAGTAGCTGTGTAACCTCTGGCAAGGCAAGCTACTTTGCCTCTCTATGTCTCAGTTTCCTCATGAGGAAATGGGGAGGATTATAGTACCTCTCTCATAGAACTGTTGGGATAAACTGTTAATACGCATGAAGTACTTAGGATTAAATATTGAGTTAATATTTGCAAATCATTTATACAAGCGATGAACATTTAAGTGCCATTTGAGTGTTTGTCTTTTTTATTTTTACTGCCACGGGATGAAAAGGGACCACAGATGCCCCGTTGTGAACCCCAGCACTCAGTGTTCTTTACACAAACCAGATCTGGCTCATGTCCTCCTTGGTCCCAGTGAAGCAAGAGTTTCGGGTTTCTCTTGGTGGGCTGTGCTCCGCCAAGCAGTAGGTGGTGGTCCAGTCTCACTGTCCAGACTCCCGGGTCATGGGCACGGATGACATCCTGACTGAGCTACAGCAGCACTGGGGAGTGTCTACTGACAGAGTCCCCAGTCTTTTGAATCAGGAGTATAATGAGAATCCCCTCCAGATGCTGTGGGCTTCCCTCATCTGGTTCTCCCCCATCTCTCTTCCCATTGTGAACTGAGACCTGCCAGGCACATTCTCCTACCCCGCTCAGGCCACTGGCCCCTTGTGCCCTCTGAGCCAGGCTCCTTCAGCTACTTGACTCCCCATGACCCTGCATCCCTCTGCCCATCATTGCATCCCTCCTGACACAGAGCATATGTGATGGTTCCACCCACTCTGGCCCTCCTACCTGAGCTCTTCAAGAGCAAGGAAGCTTCTGTTGCCTTCTCTGCTCTAGAACACGCTGAAACAGGCACTTAGTAAATACCCGTTGCCTGGACAAATGAATTGTCATCACAAACGTTTCTGATGGAAAATGAGTGTCCTCTCTCGGATCAGGCCTGGAAACTATTTTCCCAGGGAGTTTTAACAACAATCTGTCCCAGGTCTTCAGGTTAGGGAGTGTGTCAGAGCTTGGGATGGGCCTACCAGTAATTTCAAAAGGAGATCTGTACCTTACTTGCATCAGAATCTCTTCTAACGCTAATTAAAAATGCAAGTTCTCAGGGCTTATCTTAAATCTCCTAGGTCAGAATCTCTGGGTGCCAGGGAGAGGCCTAGGAGTCTGGATTTTACCAGCTTCCTGGTGATACGCATGAGAGTCCTGATCCAGCTGTGGTCATACTCCTAGCATATAAGAATTCTGTGGATCTGAACTACTATCCAAAAATACTTCACTTTCCTGGCTTCTGTTGTCCAACAAATAGGTCTTGGTCAGAAACAGAATATGGCAGTTCTCTGAGGGGTCATCTCTGGGAAAAGAGAGGTTGTGAAGGCCATTAGCACCCAACAGCCTGGGTTCTGGTGGCATTTAAACCTGGCAGGCAGGCAGACTGTAGGCAGACAGGCACAGAGTACCTTGAAGAGCAGGTATGTGCTGGGCACATACCTTGCTTCTAGATTTGGGAAGCTAGCATGGAGCTAGCAGTGTGTTGGACTTGACTATGAAAGAAACCAATACCTAATGAGTGCAGAGGACTTCAATTTACTCACATTCCTAGACATGGGCTGCTACACTGTCCTGTGTAGACCAAGTGGTCACAGGAGAACTGAACAGCTGCCAAGACAGTTGTTGGGTACAACAAAACCAGCCCAGGGATCTGTGGAGCCTCCTAGAGCCCTGGCTTGTGCCTGCCAGCCTGCGGTGTACTCACCCGGCATCACCCCCTTGATGTCACTCTCAGGGCTCATGCAGTTCTTCTGTGTGAAGTGCAGGATCAGCCTCTTAGCAGACTCAAACTGCTGGGTAGCCATCAGCCACCGGAGGGACTCGGGGAATATCCTTCAAAGACACAAAGGGAGTTGGTGAATGTCTTCTGATTCTGTAGGGCACCAGGACGCTGCTGGCAGGGCACAGTCAGTCTCCACTCATGGGCTTGATGGTTCCATGAGTGCTCAGGATGTCCGTCAGCCTAGTCAGGGAGAGAAGACTGTGGGCACCGACATGTTCTCAGAGTTCTTTAAAAAAGTGTAAAAATTGAGACTTTAAAAACGCTTAACACAAAGTGAAACACCATGTGTTCTCACTCTATGTGGAAGCTAAAAAGTTGACCTCCTAGAATAAAAAAGTAGATCAGAAGAATACTAGAGGCTGGGGAGGATAGGTGGAGGGGGGGAGGGAGGTATTTGTTAGGGGATACAGAATCACAGCTAGATAGGAGGAATGATTTTTAGTGTTCTATAGCACTGTAGGATGACTATAATCAATAGTACTATATAGTATCAAGTAGCTAGCAGGAGGATACTGACTGCATCACAAAGAAATAATAAATATTGAGATGATGGATATGCTAATTATACTGATCTAATCACCATACATTATATTTATTGCAACATCATGATGTATCCATGAATATGTACAATTATTATGTATCAACTAAAAGCATTTTTAAAACTTAAAAAAATGTGGCAGATATGAACAACATTCTACCTTTTCAAAATAACCATAGATCTCAAACGCATCTGTAAACCGTTCATTGAAGGCTGCTGCTTTTGTTATATTTTGTCACAAAAAACGAATAGTAACAGGATGATCTATTTCCATTTTGCTGCTAACTGCTTGACACTTCTCTCTGAGATGATGCCACAATACAATGGTTTTCAAGTTTTTAAAAAAACTTTAAATTTTTTTCACTCAACTCTCACTTCACAGGTTTTCATGTTTTATCAGCAACAGAATCTTTATTTTTTAAAGAAAAAATCTTGTGAGAATCCCGAATAGAAAAATATCTAGTGTTTTATTATCAATCAATATTGTAAATTTACATTTATGATGATATTTACAAGGCACACAAAGAGAACAATGTGAATGTAGAAGAAGTTGGTCTGCTATTTCTTTAAAAGTCCAATAGTCAATTTTTTAGACTTTGTAGGCAAAATGGTTATAACTCCTCAATGCTGCCTTGCAGCCCAACACCTATGGGAGTGGATGTGGCTATGTGCCAATCATGCTTTATTACAAAACAGGCAGCAAGCCCCTGACTGAGGAGAGAAAGTGGAAACTTAAGCTCAGGATGACAGTCCTAGGCTTTTGCAGCCCTCAGTTTTGCAGTTATCACTCTATTTTATTTTAGTTACACAGTATCAACAGTCATGACTGACACTGGTAAGAGGTAATTGTAACTATCTACCACCTGCCCTCCAGACTCAGGAGAGTCTAATGAATCCAGCAGCTAGAAAAAGCATTAGTGATGCAGCAGTCTGAATGCTGGTAACTCCCAACCCCATCCAAATTCTTATGTTGGAAATAAAATCCCAGTGTAATAGTATTAAGAGGTGGGGACTTTAGATGGTGATTAAGTCATGAGAATGGGATTAGTGTCCTTATAAAAAGGTTGAAGATAGCTACCTTGTCCCTTTCCTCATGTGAGGGCACTTAGAAGGTGCCATCTATGAAGAATGAATCCTTACCAGACACTGAATCTGCTGGTGCCTTAATCTAGGACTTCTCACTTCAAGAACTGTGAGCAATAAATTTCCGTTGTTTATAAATTACCCAGGCTAAGGTATTTTGTTATAACAGCAGGAACAGACTGAGACAAGTGGAACATTTTTATTTCAAAGTTCCATCACTAGTGATATATAATAACTACTGTCTCTCCTTTACCTATTTTAATAAAGTCCAAATTTATATTTGCTTGTTACTGCATTTTATGAAGAGCTGGGCAGGTTCCCCCTGAATTTGGTGGCACATTTGGGATGGTCTGTTCTGAATGTGAACTCACCCTGGGAGGCCTGCTTGATGAGGTCAAAGCTGTCCTGCTGGGCAGCTGCGTGGAGTGCGGAAGGCTATGTGTTAAGGATAGGAGGTCTGAGGACATCTCACACAGGACCCACATTCACAGGCATGTTCCAACCTGTAGGACTGAGTTTGTTTGTTTTTAAGACAAGATTTTGCTCTGTTGCTCACACTGGAGTGCAGTGGTGTGATCATAGCTCCCTGCCACCTTCAACTCCTGGGTTCAAGCAGGACTCCTGCTTTAGTCACCTGGCTTTTTTTTTTTTTTTTTTTTTTTTGTGGAGATGGAATCTCACTATATTGCCCAGGCTAATCTCAAATTTCTGGGCCCATGTGATCCTCCTGCCTCAAAAGCAAGTTGGGATTACAGGAATGAGCTACCACACCTGGCCACTGCTTTGCTCTTTATTATTTCTTTCCTTCTACTAATTTTGTGTTTGGCTTGTTCTTGCTATTCTAGTTCCCCAAGACACATCATTAGATTGTTTATTTGAAATATCTCAAATTTGTTGATGCAGGTGTTTATGGATATACATTTGCCTTTTGCTAGTGCTTTTGCTGTGTTGGTATGTTGTGTTTCTATTTTAATTCATTTCAAGGAAGTTTTTGTTTCCTTCTTATTTTCTTTCCCTAGCCATTAGTCATTCAGGAGTATGCTGTTTAACTGTCATGTATTTGTATAGCTTCAAATGCACCTCTGTTATTTATGTCTAGTTTTATTCCATTATGGTCAGGTCAGATACTTGGTATGACTTTGATTTCTAAAAATGTTCTGAGACTTGATTTATGTCCTAACACATGGTCAAATTTGGGGAAACTAAAAAGCCTCTGTACAGAAAAGGAAACAATCAACAGACTGAAAAGAAAACTTATAGAATAAGAGAAAATATTGGCCAGTTATTCATCCGACAAAGGATTAATATCCTGAGTTAACAGCAAAAAAATAAAAAATTTGACTAACACATGGGCAAATGATCTGAATAGGCATTTCTCAAAAGAAGACATACAAATGGCAAACAAATATATGAAAATGTTCAACATCACTAATCCTTAGGGAAATGCAAATCAAAACCACAGAGAGGTATCATCTCACCCCATTTAGGATGGCTATTATTAAAAAAAGACAAAAATAATAAATGCTGGCGAGGATGTAAAGCAAAGAGAACTCTTACACATCGTTGGTAAGAGTTCAGTGTGGAGAACAGTGTGGAGGTTCCTCAAAAAACAAACAAACAAAAAAACCAAAACCCACAAATAGAACTACCATATTGTCCAGCAATCCCACTATTAGATATGTGTCCAAAGAAGAAGGAAATCAGTATTATGAAAGGGACAGTTGAAACCCCATGTTTATTGTAGCACTACTCACAATAGCTATGATATGGCATCAACTAGGTGTCCAGCAACAGATGAAAGGATAAAGAAATGTGGTATGTACATATATGCAATGGAATACGAGTGGGCCATAAAAGAGAATGAAATCCTGTCATTTGTGGCAATATGGACAGAACTGGAGGACACTGTGTTAACTGAAACAAGCCACGGGCAGAAAGCTATGTTCTCACTCATGTGTAGAAGTTCATGTTCTCACTTACATGTAGAAGCTAAAAAACATGTTGAAGTTGGATAGGGAGAGATTAAAGGATACAAAATGATGGTAGGTAGGGGGAATAAGTTCTAGTGTTCTATAGCATTGTAGAATGACCATAGTTAACAATAATATATAGTTTCAATAGCTAGAAAGAGGATATTGAATGTCTGCCACACAAAGAAATTATAAACATCTGTGGTGACGGCTATGCTAATTATCCCGATTTGATCACTATACACTATATGTATCACAACATCACTATGTACTGCATGAATCTGTACAATTACTATGTGCCAATTTAAATTTTTTATAAAGGTAAGGCCCTGCCTTATGCCTACCAAGTAGACATTTTTAGTATTAGAATTCCCTCAGTCTAGGCCCTGAATCTCAGAGATTCAGTTCTGCTGTTCCTCTTTCTTGTCTGGGCCTACAGAGCCCTTGCCCTTCAGAAGATTCTCTCCTGGTTCCAGGTTAGAAAGCCTGGTGGCAGAGAACAGAGCTGGCGAGGGAGGGCTCGAGTGCAGCCCAGGGCACACAGGCAAACAGGCCTTGGGGATGCTGTTGCTTCCCTGAGTGACCAGTCCCTCTCCAGCTCGTCTTTGTACCTCTAAATCAGGTCCAAAGTCAAGAGATTTGGAACTAAAAACTGACAACAAGAAATAAATGTCCTCATGAGAAGGGACAAAGAGAATTTTCTTTTTCAGAAATGTCTTTTTCAGAATTTTCTTTTCAGAAAATCTCTGAGAATTGCACAGCTTGTAGAAAAGGTTTCAAGATAGCACCGTTTACAAAGTCATGCTGTGACCTTAGGATTTAAGAAGTGGGTGTGGACCTCTTTTGGAGCTCGGGCTTTTGTTGGGTCTTCAAGTTATTTTTTTCTAATATGTACTAAGTATTGTCACTATAAATTAATCTCAAGTGGATACAATCCTAATCTTATGTCTTGCAGAAGGAGACCTCTTTAGAAAAACATAAACAAAGACACACGCGCGCGCAAACACACACACGCACACACACACACACACACTCACACACAGCTTTTGGGCTTTTGTGCTCTGGACAGAAGGCGTTGTGGTATGGCATGGTGGGCGATCCTGGGCAGGTAGTGCAGGGCTAGCCAGTAACAACTCTGGGGAGGAAGTGCTCCCTGTGGAAGTACTACTCGATCGTCTGGGAAGACAAATGGCTACTGGTCAGGTCCGTGTGCTGGGATATCCATGGGTACAGGCTCCAGAGGTGAGGCATGGAGGGATGGGGGCATGGGACAGTATGTTGTGTCTACAGAGTTGCAAGCTGGTAACCCAGAATGACAGGAATGAGGAGAGATAAGGAGCTGAGTGGAAGGCATAGCCCAGGCATCAGGAGACCCTCAGTGTCATGGAGTCTCATGGGCAGCAGCCATCTGATGAGTGAGCACTCCCCAGAGTCCTGGGCATAAAATGACAGGCATACT